ATTTTAGAAGTGTTAAACAAATGCAGATTATCATATGATATATAAAAACTGCTTAGTAATATCAAGTTTGATGAAGCTGCTATTAGTAAGTTTTTCCAAAGAGAAGAAAGCTTTGCTGCACAAATCTTAATATTTTGTAGGATACTCCACTGATTTATGCTCAAATCATAGTGTTGTTTTTAATGAAAGAAGAATATGATTTTTCAACTTTGTCAATCTTAACAACTCTTTTTCCTGCCTCTAAAAATGTGCTGTCCTAAAGTTAGTTCTAGAAATATAATTGTCACTAAGAATAAGAGAAAATTAGTTCTAGAATCAGATTTAGAATTATAATATTTTAAATTTATCAGATCTTTGTACCATCAATTACAACTCTTTGTCCTATCTCTTAAAATGTGTTGTCTTAAAATTAGCTCTAGATTCCTAAAAAAAATTATCATAAAATGCTTAAATATACGACTCTTTAATTATTTTTTTAAACAACAGCGTAAAATTGGATTTAATAATGCTGAAAATTAATTAGTTTTCAATATAGTCTGAGTTATTATTTGAAATATAACTGAACTGCCAGGAAGTTAAGAGTACGCAATTTACAATTTTGAATTGGAATAGTTTTCTATATAAAGATTTTCTGTTTTCATAACAATATTTTTTAACTCTTTCCGATTTAAACCTCTTTTGTAACTTTTTTAAAAATAACTAAATTAATTAAATAACATTATATATTTTTATTTCAAGAGCTCTCCCCTTATTTATGCAATGGAAATTTCTTTCGAAGTGTATTACTTCTTCGTGCCTTTCTTTAGAGCTTCAGATATTGCGTATCACACTTTCTCAGAGTAGAATTTTTATAGAATTGTAGATCTTAATTTCAAAACTGAATAGTAATACAAATGTTTAGTATATATAAATAAAATTTGGATAGTTCAGAATCCTTGCTTTCCTTTTTTGGTGTGGTTTGAAATTTTCTATTTGACACTTTGAAAAAATGTTAAAAAACGAATTTATAATTGTTTTTATTTCATTTCTTCGCTTCTAAAGGCAATGCACAAAATGTCATCAACCAAGGCTTTAATGATTACCACAAAAACACTTGCGTCCGATTCGTTCCAAGGTCAAACGAACAAAACTACATCAAGATCTTTTCTGGACAAGGGTAAGAATATTTTTGATTGATTTTTGTAATAAAAAAGTACTTTTCTATAGAAAAGTAATAACTTGTATGACTTGATTTGAGGAATGAATTGAGATATCACATCTTAGAAGAGTTTTTTATGCTGTTAAACATCATTCATTAATCAATTGGCTTTACAAATCATTACATATTATTCAATTTCTTAGTTAAACAATGTTAGTGAACTTTGACTTATAAAACTGTACAATTAATTGCAGACATAATAAATTGCAAACAAACTGCTTTTTATTATTTTCATTTTCAGTGCTTAATATTGGAAATGATTAGATATGTGTTAGGGATTCTGTTTAAGCATTTCAATATTTCAAAGGACTTTATATATAACTATACCACGAAAAAAGAAGGGTGAAAAATCTAATCAAATTTGTGGTCTATACCGCACATGTTAATTGTGGGCTCCCTTGGTCACACAGAACACATTCTAATGGAATTCATGTTTCGTTCTTCAGCATGTTTAAAGCAATGTAAGCCAGAACAGCAGTGAGGCATTCCTATGGAAATCTTGGCATTGCGCGTGATTTAGTTTGGAATGACAGATTATATATATATTTCTAATACCAACCATAACAAAGTATATATTTTTCTTAAAAACAAAATTTATGCACCCTTAATGCCACCAATGCTGAAAACGCATGACCACTACCAGGACACATATTTTTATAAACAAATGCTACTTTACGTATAAACGGATTATATTTAGTTTACCATTGAGATCTGGAACTGCATGTCGGGGAAAGGATACACACATTGGACATTCGAATCTTCAGCATCATCATCATAGTTGGCCAGACAGCCCAATGTGAGCCAATGCCTTCCTCTGAAGATTTCTCCATGACGACTTCCGATTTATCTTTGTTTTCTTCTAATGATTTCGTGACAATAAATTTTTACAGGACAGAGGTGTCAACCCTATGCCTAACCCCCAACCTGGAGGACCAGTCCCCTGATATAATCCCCAGTGGCAGGGTGCCCGGTTGTACCCCCAGACACTGGGTACCCATTTTAAACGCCTTTTACGACATGCATGAGCTGCATTGGGACTATTCTGTCACACCCGGTCACCACACGGGTGACATTCGAATCTTAATAATTTTATATTCCACCCTCCTTTGTTTTTGTCATACACTTGTAAATAAACAGTTTATTGAATCTAAATGAATAAATTAGGATAATGATGCATAGTAAATTTCAAAACTAAAATGAAATTTTCATATGAAATTTAAAAAGGTGCTATTCCTATGTGGGTAAAATCAATGGTGAACAGGCTGTATCTCTTGGAAATGGATGCTTGTACGCAGGAACAGTTGTTCACGAGTTGGGACACGCCCTTGGATTCTACCACGAACAGAGCAGATCAGACAGAGATTCATATTTGATCATCTACCTTGAAAACGTCGCCGAAAGTGAGTATTTGTCATGTTTATATTATTCTCTGACAATTGTTTTTTTACCATATGACCATTTCTTTACCTTGCTATTTTCGATTTATTTTACAGCATGATTTTTTTTACCATATGTTTAATGAAATACTTACTTTTTTAAGAAACATAATAAACGTAATAAAGGCATTTTTTAATATAGGAAAAAGTACAATTTAAAATGTATTATTTGTTACTCCTTAAAATATAAGTGAAAGAGGAGTTGGTTTAAGTATAAATAATGATTTTTAAAAAAAACCACAAACGAACAAATCGTTATTCCAAAATTTTTAATAGGATCAGGGGTAGAGCGCACGCCTCCCAACGTGGTGAACTGGGTTTTAATCCCAATGATGGCTAGTCGATACAAAATCCGTACCCGCCTTGCACCAAATACAGTGCTGACGTAATACATCATCATTGCTATACCGATTAAGGGTTAGAGACGCCTTAATGCCAAGCTAACCGTGAGAAGTTTTCGTGGACTTCCTCTCCATGTAACGCAAATGTGGATTAGTTCCATCAAAACGTCCTCAACAAACTTAAATTTCTCCCACTACTTGATTTTGAAGTTCCATTTTTCTCTTGTAAACTGAAAATTGGGTCAGCAGTTTAACGACAGTTATAAAATAAACAATTTCCCATACATTGCTACTTTTTAAGTTAAGCCATTATATTGTAAATAAGTTTTTCTGATAGAATTGCACAATAATTATTCATGCATTTTTATTATAAACCGAAAATACTTTGAATGAGATGATAAAAGATATTTAACGACCTTAATGAAAAAAATTATCTAACCGTAAAACATTAGAAAGAAAAATGCGTAATGTATATAATTTTGAAATTTCATAAATTTCAGAATAGCAATGAATCTAATATTTTCTTCTACTCTATTACATAGACATGAGATTCAACTTCAACAAGCTTTCACCCCACCAAAATGTCTTGTACAATACTTTTGACTACAACTCCATCATGATTTACGGCAACAAATCTTTCTCAACAAACGGAAAAGACACCATGGTGGCCAGAAATGGACAGAAATTGTCTGACCCTTACAACAAGCAAGGAATGACCAGAAATGATATCGAAAGAGTCAACAAAATGTACAATTGTTAAGAAATTTTACATTTGCTTCAATACTGTGACTAATAAATTATAAAGGGAATGATTTATTTTATTTCATTTTGTTTCTAAAATGTATCACACGATTTCTGAAAATTTAATTTTAATAATGCTGAATGATTAAGAGTAAAGTTGGGAACAAAATTTAAACCAAGAATTTCACAGATAATTTGAAATTTACTTTCCAATATCAATTTTACAGATATCTGAAATGGGAAATTAAATAACTTTCTATAATTCCATTAAGATATTTATTTACACAGTACGTGTTTAAAATACTTAAATTCAGTATACGCATAAATGTATAATTTACGTACAAAATAATACGTACAAAAAATTTACAAAATAATACGCACAGAAACAAAAATTTCAGTAGAAATTATGCTGGCTATTATTTTTTAAGACTATATATTTTTATTTGCCTTATGCCAACTTTTTTTTCTCACGGTATTTCTCAGAATACTGAAAAAACACTTACTATAATAGGGTTGTACTTTTGAAATCAAATTCACGTGATACTGTTATGGGCGAGCCCCGATCGCTGGTTTCTTTCTGTCCTGCCAGTCGCGATAGTTTTCGAGACTGGCTGGCATTCGCGAGGTCTGGAATCCTAGACATTCTGTCGTCTTTGAGACAATTCGAGAATTTTGTAGATGCAGTAAAAAAATTTATATGAAAGGAGGAACGGAGTACAGTGGAGTTAGTTAGTCAGACTAAGAGTTATCAGTGCTGCTTGCCTTTCGGAGCTTGTTTCTAAATCTGTTTTGTTTTGGAGACACTGTGCTCGTTGAAGTTATTCATTCCAGTTCGAAACTTTGGGATCGTAGCTTAGCGGATATTTCTGTGCCAATACATATGTATATATTTTTGCTGTTCTTGGATCTTTAGGATGTCGAAACGCAAGAAATTAACAATTTTTAATTACTTTGAGAAGAAATCACGACCTGAAATTAGTGAGGTGGCAGCATCTAGTACCAATGTAAGTTTTTCTGTTGAACAAAAATGTGATACTTCCGTTGAAGAAAATGTTTCTAGCGTAACAGAATCTGATGAATGTGAAATCGGCCCTCAAAGTGTTACTTCCCACCCATATGACATTGGACTTTTTTCAGAAGATAATACATGCGAGAATAAAAAACTGGATATACTTAAAAATGTTTGGGAACCCAATCCTGCATTTGTTTTTCCTGAAGGTTAAGGGTGCATTTGTTTTTCCTCAGAGGTTAAGGGTGGTGCTTTTTGCAAATTTTGTGTACTTTTCGCCCCAAGTGGTGCGGGTTCTGGAAAGCAACCTTTAGGTCAACTGTGCAATGTAAAATTTGACAACTGGAAAAATGCTGTAGAGCGATTTTCTGAACACGAGAAATGTCTTTATCACAAAAAATCGATCGAAACTGCTGGGACATTAAACGATATTTTATTTGGAAAGATGAAACCTGTGGATGAACAAGTTGACAGTGCAGCAAGCAGAAGAAAATTAGAAAATAGAAAAAACATTACTCCAATCATTGAAACCATCCTATTTTGTGGAAATCAAGGTCTCGCTCTAAGAGGACATAAGGATTCGGGAATAATTGCTGAACAACCAGGTGAAGAGAACGACGGAAATTTTCGGGCATTGCTTCGTTTCCGGAGTAAGAACGATTCGACTCTTAAGAACATTTTAGAGTCAAGCAGAAAAAATGCTCAGTATACCAGCCCTCGATTTCAGAACGAAGTTATTGAGGTTTGCAATATTTTAATCCTGCAAAAACTAGTCAGCAAGATTAATGATGCAACTTGCTTTTCCATTCTTGCAGATGAAACAACTGATATTGCAGGTATAGAGCAATTATCGTTATGCGTTCGATATGTCGATAAAGAAAATTTTAACATCACCGAACAGTTTTTGCAATTCATTCCGGTGCATGACTTAACCGGAAAAGCAATAGCAACAACAATATTAGACCAATTACAGTCTATGAAAGTTGATATAAAAAAGTTACGTGGACAGGGGTACGATGGTGCTGCATCAATGAGTGGAAAAATTAATGGTGTACAAGCCCACGTAAGAAGTATTGTCCCATCAGCACTCTATGTACATTGCTCTGCTCATAGCCTCAATTTGGCTGTATCAAATGCATGCGAAATAACTGGCATTAGAAATTGCTTAGGGACAATTAAAACATTATACGACTTTTTAAATACGCCAAAAAGACAGTATGTCCTATCTTCAGCAATAGAGGAGATGGAAACCAGCTCTAAGAGGGAGAAAATTAAACAGCTATGTGCAACCCGTTGGATGGAAAGATACGACTCAGTAACCGCTGTGGTGGAACTTTTCGAGCCTATCGCCGAAACACTACAAAAAATATCAGAATGGAAGGATAAGGAATCAGCTACCCAGGCTAATTCTTTACTGTGCACAGTATCTAATTGCCAGTTCGTAATATCTCTTTTGTGCATTTACAAAGTTTTCACCATAACAATCCATCTCTGTAGATACCTACAAAAAACAAGCATAGATTTGATAGAGGCAGTGAGTCTTGCAGAAGATGTCATTAAAGATCTAAAATTAATGCGTGAAAATGCCACTGAAACATTCTCTGAAATATTCAGCTCTTCTTCTCTTATGCTAACAAGCATTGGATCTTCCACTTCCATGCAAATCCCTAGAATAACAGGAAGACAGAAAAATCGCGATAATTTTCCCTCATCGACACCGGAAACATATTTCAGAGTTAGTGTTTTTATTCCATTTATAGAAAATTTTATAACACAATTAAACTTAAGATTTGTATCGCATCGTGATATTTTGAAAGGATTTCAGTGTCTTCTACCTGCCGATCCTTTCATTTGCCAACCTTCAAACATAAAGGCTTTTGAAGCATTAGTGGAATTTTACGCTGGAGATTTGGATACCTGTAAAGAAAGCCTTAAGTCTGAACTAAAACTCTGGTATAAAAGATTAAAAAGGATTAGTGAAGACGGAGGTAGTGTTCCAAAAACTGCGGCGGATGCTCTTGGAATGTGCAATAAAGATATAACACCAAACATTTTCAAACTCCTAGAAATATTGGTCGTTCTACCTGTTTCAACGAGTGCAAACGAAAGATCCTTTTCGACTTTGCGCCGTTTGAAGACTTATTTACGCAACTCAACGGGAAATAATAGAATGAATGGATTGGCGCTCTTAAGCATTCATAGAAAATTTACCCCAGCTGTAGAAGACATTTTAAACGAACTTGCAAAAAAACCCCGTCGTTTGGATATTACTGTATAAATCAATAAATTTTTAGCGTGTTTGTATACTGGTTTAATTCCCTATTTGTTGGTAAGTTATTTTTTGGTTAAATTCATTGGTTTTCTATGGAATATTCACATTTATACGGTTATTATTTAGGTAGCTCTTGCAGTATGAGTAGTTTTTTCTGGCTTCATTTATTCCAACTTTTTAATAAAAATGAATTATTTTACCTCTTATTATAAAAAAAATTATATTCTTAAACTTAAAAAATAAAAACGAAATTTAACTAAACAATGTTGTCTAAATGAAAAGTCAAAATTGTCTAGCTGTCTAAATTAGGGAAATAATAGTGCTTTATTACATACTCGAATTTCTTTCGAGTATGTGCTTTATTACATACTCGAATTTATTACATACTCGAATTACCCCCCTTGAAAAAATTCTGCCTACGCCACTGGTCGCAATCATTTGAAATTGGAATAAAAAAATTGAACACAAATTAAAAACGTTGTTTTTTTCATATTCTCATTTTGTGTCATTTTCCTGAACATAGGGGGAGCTAGTGACATATAAAAGCACTTAAAATTACTAACACTTATAGCTAGTTACAAATAAAATTTTATGACAAAGCAAATAAACAGTTATGAATAATTATGTGTTACAAACTCAAAACAACTATGTCTCTTTAAACTAGTGGGTGTTTCTAAATTCTATATAGCAATATTCTTAACAATAAATTTGATAAACGAAATTGAATAACTATTTTCATAAGCAAAAGGAAGCAAACAAAATATTTTTTGAATACATTATCTTGTGCTGAAATGGATTGTTACTGAAAACAACAATAAGAATGAAAAGGGATATTTAAGATACTGTTATATTACTTTAATCAATAACAGCAGGCGTGTCCCATGATATTAAATATGATTAGAAAACATTTAAAATAAGCAAGCAAAGTGCTACAAGTTTATCACCTTATTATCAATCATATAATAATCTATCAATCAATCTTCATACTTTCTAATAAATAAATAAAAAACTGAAAATGTATTTTAACTTTTGGGTAAATTTAAAACAAATGCTGCAGAACAATGTGGTAAATAAAATGTTTCTTATTCTATGAAAATAATATAAAAATGAATACTGAAAACTATTTTGCTTGCATCAATAAATATCAGGGGTGACGTCAAAATTTTGAACTGAAACTGTGAATGAATTACTTAAATCATTTCTTTTTTAAATTAAAAGCTATTTTAAAACTCAATTCCATCGGAAAAGTTTTGGATTCTGAACAACAAACTTAAAATTTAATTCTTCTGATTACATTTAATAATGTTGCATTCGATTTTATTAATGGGTATTTTAATTAACAAGACTGATGAATGAATACAAATATAGTGCATTTACTAAGGATAAAAAACACAAATGAAGATGCAACTGTACCATATGCCGTTGATTCATCTCTAGGTAATAATTCAATATTTGCTTTATGATAATTTTGAGAATAAAAGGTAATTTTATTCAGTCTTAAAACACTTTTAAGCAATTAGTCCTAAGAAGTTATATTTTTTATAAACTGAATATAATTACGAGTTCAAGTTGGTTTGATAAATTCTGAAAACAGGGGAGAATTTGCTACGTTTTTACAAATTAAAAGGCTGTTGCGTTTTATTACTCCTGGCTTATCAATTCACATGATTTATATGCAAACACCTTTTTTAAATTATCCACTGACGATGAGCTGTTTGTCTCATCAAAATTAACAAAGAATAAGTTCCGGAAAAAAATGAGTTTCCATTCGGCTGTCATAGCAATAAAAAAAATGCATTGACTATAAAGGCTTATTTTTTATTTTCAAAGAGATTATTAGTAAAAGTATAAACAAATTATTTCGATTATGTATATTTTTCTCTAAAAACTTTTAGTTGTTATTTTATATTCAGTATTTAAGTTGCGTAAATTGATTAGAAATGGATTTATAGATTTATACAGCATTTATATAAAATAAAAAATTTTCCGTCATTTTTAAATTTTAAAATGGTAGTATATCCTTTCTGAGTATGGCATGAAAGAAAAGTAAATTATCAATATAACAGTATTAAACCGGGCTACAAAATTATGCCCAAGGATTCCCAACCCATTAAATTGTTTGTTTTTTTGATTTTTTAACCATACTTGTTGTCAGCGGTTTAAAAACTGTGGAAACTTCTTTCCAATGATATTCATGCTGTTACTCAGAGATTTAAATTATTATGAAAGTAACAGTTAAGAAGATGCATGTTTTTTAAAGCAATATAATATTTAGTCATACATTGAATATTTAGAAGGTTTATCAAAAAATATTCTCAATGAAAATTATAATATATATGAAAATAACAATTTCTTAATAAATAGTTTTTAATCATGCCATACTCTAAAATGATATAGTTCTCTTTGTTTTTGAGATACAAAATTTTACAAAATTTACTTCTCTTTCTAGAGCAGTTAAAAAAATAATAAATAAATAAAATAAAAATAAAAACAAATTTTCGCAAAATAACTGCCCTAATAAGTAGTGATTTATATAATTGCTTGCACAATTATTTCCGAGGTATAAATTGTTTTTAAAATATCGGCAAAAATAAGATTTCCTTGAAATAAAATGTAATAATGCAAGGTAAATTTAAGAAATTTTTCAAAAAATAAATAAGAAAGAAATTGTAATTTTTTGAGGTAAATATTTTTATGAGCGTCACTCTAAAAATTTTATGGTAAAATTTGCTTCTGAAGTTCACATTATCATAAAAGTTAAAGTCAAGTCTGAAAAACTTTTGTGAAAAAGTGATGTATAGCGATTTAATTGAGTCTTATAAAACGTTTAATACTGCTCTTAGCAACTTTATTACCTTCCTTAAAAATTTATACAATTTTATTTGATTCTTTCCATTTGTGTCACTCTAAACATATACTGTACTTTTTGCTTATCAGATGTAAGTTTTTATAAAAATCAAGTCAAAAGTTTCCTAATATATAGTAACATTATGCATATTTAAAATATTCATTAAGAACAATTCTATCACAAAACTATTTTTTATCCCGAATTTATAGAGAAATAGTGTGTTCTTTTCGTGCAACTCTTTTCTATCCCGAATTTATATGATATATTATATAAATTAATTAGGGCAGACGATATTTCAAGTACAAAATAAGACACAAAAACGTACTTTCGGTGACTGAACGTACCTTTTTTCGACGGATTTGGCTTTTTAACCACCAAAATATAGAGGACAGCCGTAATTCGGGAAATATGGTCCCCATAGTTTGGCCATAGAGGGATCAAACGTTTGTACCTCATAATATTAATTTTATTTTTTGCGTATTTCACCTTACCTCGAGAACTTTCTAAGTTAATTGAAAATTTTTTGCATGCACCAATGAAATTTGTTTATCCAAAGAACAATTTGGCGAAAAAAATATATTTCTGTGCATATTTATTATTCTTTATTATTTTATTTAATAATGGCAGAAAAGTTTTTGAATGATAAGGTATGCAATTATTTACATTATTTTAAAATATGTAATTTTACATGGAAAATACAAAAGTTTAGAAAAATTGTTTGAATATTTCAAAAAATTTAATTTTCAAAAAAGTCTTATATTTTTAGTCTTAATATAAAGTGAAACAATAGACATTCTCAATTATTATTAATTAACTGAGGAGATCTTGTACGTTTGAAGGCAGCAGGCATAATCTTACCTGTCTATGTAAAATCTTACCCTAATTATATTCCTCAGTAACCATTTGAAAACTTGTGAAACTACAACCTAATATGCAACACAAAACAGAACATTTAAAATGTCTATTAAAACATTTGCTGCTTGGAACTTTCAATTTTATTTGATAACTTTCTATTTGACTCTCTTTTTTTAAATAGTTCTATGCATTTTGCTTATGCGATGAAAGCCATTATGAAAATAAATTCAAAATAGAGCATGGAAACTTTTTCTTATGATTCGATTAAGATTGATTGGTGAATATAAAAAGTTCTGCTTTAAAATCATTCTTTGAAATAACATTTCATATTAATTATTACGTATTAGCATTTAATATCATTCAATAATTGTTAGAATTTAATTCACATTGCGCATGAAGCTGATCGTTATGTTTTTAATGGTACAACGAATCTCTTTATCTCCAATTTGCATTCTAATTTATGCGAAATCTTTATAATTAACTTTGTAAAACGATTAATAATTTAAGCAAACGGTTAATAA